TAACAAAAAAAAATCTCCAGTTTATAATATTTGAATGAATCCTATGTGGAATTTTGCTAATAATACCCTATCTATTTTCAAATTTGTTCAATCACATTAATTTTTGAGATAATTACTAATTAGTAATTAAGCAATAATTAGAAACTTCTAAAAAATTCATAAAAAATAAAAAACATTTTTTTTGAAATTCATCAATTTTGTTTTACTTATGTTATAAAAGATTTATGCGAAATTTGAGACTCCTGCGACAAGTTTTACCTGTTTTATAGTCTTTTAAACTTGATTATAGCTCCGATTTATTAATAAATTACTCTAAAATGTTCACTATAACTTTATTTTTGGTTTAACTTCCAGTTATGAATTTATAATTATTAAATAGACAGTTGTATGAGGAATTTAAAAATATTTTTTTGTCTCAATGCGTGATTAAAATCCGACATATAATAGAAAAGCATTCTTAGATAACGAAATTTCGTAAAAATGTTTGTTTTTTTGTTATAATTGTTTTTCTATGACAGTTATAATAAAATTAAGTAAATCTACTGTTTCGCAAATTAACGGATATATTTAGACTGAACACAATGGTGTAATTAATTTTAAAAATCTTCATTATTTGTACAATTATTTAACTAATTGCAAAGAAAGGGTTACAAAATAAGGATTAAAGAATAATAATTATGATTTAATTAAATCATGATTTTATTTTTGTGAAAAATATAATTTATCCTGTGATATTAAAATGATCTGTATTATTGTTCCAAAAAAATCACCATTACCGGTTTTGATAGTAAAGTTGAGATCACTTAATATTAAAAAAAAAAAATGCTTGTCTTCAATAATATCCTTTAATATTCTAAATATTTATAAATAGCATTTTTCTAGAATTGTATAACTTATAATAATTTATTTAAATAAGAACATTTTCTTAATTTAAGATACTCGTATGTGCCGTTTTTTTTTTAGCTAAAAAGGTACAAAAGTTGAGCAAGTTTGGAACTAGTATTTCAGGCTTACAAATGACGCATGAGAGTATGTAATTATTAATTTACAATGTTAATGAAAGAAAGTGGAAGTGACGTTTTACAGTTTTTAGAATAATTAATATTTTTTTTAATACTTTCAAATTTAGAACCATACCGTTTCGTACAGCTGATTTAAAACCAGTATCTGGATAAAAACGAACATCTTTAAAGTCTAACGGACATCGGAGCATATATTTTTTCATTTGATGCTGTTATAACAACATATTTAAATGTTTAACATTTACGAATGAAGTTTGACTGGTGACTTATATTCATGTAAAAATATATTAATTTTTTTAATTTTCATAAAATTATATTTTCGGCGTCGTCTCATCTTTAAATCAACTCAGTCGTAATTACATATATCTGTCTAATTATTTTAGTTGATAGAGAAGCCTATATAATTCAAAAATTAATTTCCTAATGTATGATTATTTTGAGTAAAAACTAGAACCATGTTAGAATGAGTTCAAGAAGATATAAAACTGGTATTTTTATGTTTTTAAATTTTTTATCCTCAAATGTAATACAATATGTGTGTAATTTTTTTTGATTTTAAATTAAAAACTATTATTTGTATTACGTGACGCCATTTTATTGTGTAATATTTAATTCATTTATAATAGATTAATGTTATAGTCAATACAAAATATATAATAAAATATAAATTTAAGTATTATGTTGATTTCAATTTTAAAGATAATAATATACATATAAAAAAACATATATATATATATATATATATTAATAAATTGATAAAAAATGTATGCATTTTTTATTTTTAAAATTCTTCAATATTTTTTTACTTATTTCATTAAAAATAATAATTTTACTTTTATATGATAATATGTTAAATTCTAACAATACATGTTTATGTATTCGTGTATACAATGTTTTATTTAAAAACAGTTATATTTAATTGAATAAATCTATAAATTATAATTATTTCAAGTATTATTTATAGATTATTAATAGTTTTTAGTTGTAGGATTTGTTAAGAAGTAGTGTAATATAAAATGTATGAAATTGGAAGTGTGACTTTATAAAAATGAAGCCTACCTAGAACTGAATGTTGATGTAAACTATTTTATAACATAATTAAATTGTAGCTACGCCCCAGTGGGTTTATTTTTTTAAGGTTTAAGGATATTTAGATTACGCTGTATTCTTTAATTTCTCATCAATATTAGACATGTGCTAGACATGAAGAGAAACAATTTATAGAGATGCAGTTTAAAAATTTTCGTCAGGTTATATACGCGATTGTATACATAAATTAATTTTTATTTCTTGTCAGTATCTATGTCTAAGTAACACATAACAGTATTTAAACTATATTTTTTAAAGACTGTATCATAAAATGAATGGCTTGATAATAAATCATGCTAACTGTATATTTTATTTTAATTGTTCCTCATTATTTTATTTTATTTTAACTTAATAAGCGATCGAATAATATACATGTAGGTCTTAGCCAAAATATTGACGTCATGCCGAAAACGTTAAAACATTAGATCCGAGCACACAAGAAGTTACAGACGGACGATTAAGTCGCTTTTGTGTGCTGTGATCCCATACACTCGATGGTACAACGTTTAAATTTCATTGTACCATCTTGGTATATTACACATTAACACAGAGAGGTCAAATTAATATTTTCACACATTTTCACCGACTTTCCACGGCCTCCGTTTTAATAATATAGTTAATAAATAACACGCCGCAGTAAACAGGTACATTATAATCATTTAGGTATAATCGCTCAGTTTGCGGAATTTGTTAAAAATAACACGTGCCGTTGCGGTTTTATCATATATGTTTGAATCTAAAAGGTATAGCTTTAATCCTTTACAAAAACACTGAAATACGTTATCATGAAATAAGAATAACGGAAATATTATAAGATAGGGTCGGTGATATGTTAGTTCGTTTTCGCTTAAACTCCAGAAATTTGTGTTTGGGTGTTATTTTCTTATAAGGTTTTCATATATGCAATACAGGAGCTGGGACTATTAATAGTAGATTTTTTATTAATATAACGAATGGCTTAGCGGCACACACAAAAAGAGAAGATATAACTCACAAACCAAACATAAAATAATTTATCCATGTAGTAAATACTTTTTGGTATTACAATTGATTACGAAAGTTAATTATTGTTAACCATGAATTTTATATAAACTTGATGAAGGTCGCTCTCAGATGCACGTACATGATAAGTTAATCTTGATCAGTAACTAATACACAAAGAAAAAGTATAATTTAAAAAAATATATTTTTATTTGTTGAGTTATTATTTTTGTTAAGAAAACAATTTATAAAATTAATACAGTCAACCAAGCATTATTTAATTAAAATAAACTTTTATACTTTAATATCGCATATTATTTGAAAATAATTGACTTGCCGACGTAAAATTGTTTAAAAAATCTATGTAAATTTATTATAATTAGCCTTTACAGCCAAGGCTTTATTCATATATAAAAATATCTTTTACACGAAAGCCTCGAAAAACACAAAGCTTTTATCTTTGCAGTTTTGTACAATTGTTTTTAAAAAGATATACTTGTGAGATAAAATAAAAATAAAATGCCATAAAATGGAAAAGTCATAAATATCTTAGTGATAAAGAGTCTTAGTTTAATGTTTGCCTATCAGTTTCCGAAATTTAAATCTAACATAAGTTCAAATTTTAAATTATAGCTTGAAGAAATCAAAAATCAAATTTTTAAAACCGAATATTGGTTTTAAGTTTCCATTATAAAATTTTTCTATTTTAATTGACACGTTGTACGGTTTTGTATTACTTTTGCGCCCAAATCAATTAAAATGGTTGCTAGACATACGTCGTAAATGATTTTACTGCACACTATAATACGGTTTATTTATTTTAGCAGTTATCAGTACTATGATTTATAGTTTAAACGCGTGTCAGCCGTCGCCGCGGAGAATATAACTATTAAGTTAATAGTTATAATATGATTAGTATCAAAATACCATTACTTAAGAAAAGTGTAACTACTAGAACAGCTATTTTTTTATGACAGGCGGGCGTTGTGGCGTGTCGTTTTGGTACATTAATATCACACATTCACAGTCCGTCAGACGTACGGATAAAAAATAATATAATTATTAAACGAAGTATCTAACATTCGAACGAGTTTTCTCGAAGGCACATTAGAAATGCTCAGAGCGGGATTCCGTTAAACATACACTATGTGTGTGGACATAAAAGATAATTGGTCGACAAACAGTTTCGGTCCATTTGTTATTTGAGAGGGTTTTTGTGTTGAACATAATTCAAAGATATCTATTGATTTCTTACTAACTACGGTCAAGTAATGATCTCGAAGTTTCAATCGTTTTTATTACTTAATCCTATAAGCATCGGAAATAGATAAAACACAGGTGTTCATTAAGTTAACTCCGTTGATATACAGGTACATCAAATGTTTAAAATGACGTTTACTTGGCTGACGATTATTCAGTTTCCATTATTTTATTTATAATACTCATTCGATGTCGGCAGAAGACATTCTTGGCTGCCAACGGGTGGGAACATTCTTTTTCCGGTATAAATTTACTTAAAAGAAAACAAGATCAAGTGATACTTGTCGGTGTTGTGGCGCATAACAAATCGAGGCTGTATCAACAAGTTCTTGAGTTTTTATTTTTGGAATAAGTTAATTGTATTTGATCTAATCATTACTCGAGAATGCACAGATTATTCCAGCCATTAGAATTGAAGATAAATAAATAATTGAATTAAAATAGAACAGAAAATATCTTATTTGTCACAAAGAAAAATGTCTTATCGATACATGTATGAATCTATTCCTTATACTTCTAAAATCTAGTGAACTATTTTACAATAGTTAACTACATTTAAAACCAAAACCTTAGGAGAAACTAGCTGTGGTATCATAAGTTGATTAATAATACAGTTGGAGTTATTAATAATCGTAAGTAAAAACTGGAGATTCTCGAATGAGCACATTTTATTATGTTACCAACAAATTTCAATAATTATATCAACAAATTAACTTTTATTTTTAAAATAAATATTTAATAACACTTACATCATAATTTAAATATTTAAATAAAAATGAATTTACATTTTATCAATAAAAATTTATTGTTTTTTAGCTTGTGACTGTCATTTGGATGACAGCCGACGATATTCGTGTGATGGCGGGTTTAAATGATATGAAATTGTTCATAGATATTGGGTACGGATACAGAGAAAAATGTTAAGTGCATACTTATCGGTAATTTTGATTGCCGTGTTGGCCGGAGTCAATGTTGTTTGTGCCACCGTGTCCATTACACGATATCATAAAGGAGATATATTTGAACTGTCAGGTAATCATCTAAAAAAAGTAAATAATTAAAAAATTAATGATAATAATACATTTTTAATACACAATAATAATGAACAAGATTTTAACTTGATTTCATAGTTTTTAGTTAATTTGAGATGATTTTTTTAATAGCCTTATTCTTAAGACACTATAATATGAAATATTTTTTAAGAAAAAATAATTAAATATTAAAATTTATATTAAAACAAAATACAATTATATTATTGTTGTTGAAAATTGTTTGTGTACATTTCAATAATATCAATATTTTTACTGTACAACACAACGTATACCAACATTTTCTTTTTATCGGGACTAATTAAAACAAATTAAAATATAAACAAAAAAAGTTAATTTCATACACAACGTTTTATATAAATCCATTTATTGATGTAGATCAATAGACAATTCTCTCAAATAATATTATTATACAACTCACAGCTTTGAGATTTTACAATTTCGGCCATTTTCTTTTTTAATAGTATATTTCTGTGAAATATTAAATATTTTCTTATTTAATAAAAGGGCGTATAAAAATCTTACAAACCTTGTGTTACTTTTCAATACTTATAGAAATTATTTTACCAGTTTATACATTTATACTTTTTTTGAAATTTTAACACTTTTGAAAAAACAGCATCGATATCTTAATGATAATTAGTTAAAACTTTTATACGAATTTTACGTAGATTAACAGCATGATTAAAAAATGAATGTAATTTTATTTATCAACTTAAAAGTTTTCTATTGAATTGAATGTGTACAATCCAAAACATCCCTTTTTTTTTTTTTTTTTTAAATCAGGTTTTGATTATATTTGATCAAAATAAAAATCGCCATTATTTTTGCTCGTAAACTAGAAAGTTTCAACAACTCGATTGAAAAATAAGGTAAATAACAATTTTATTGTTTGGTAAGATTACAAAAAAGATTTTATTATTCTTTCGTTCGCTTAAAATTTTTAAAAATAGTGCACTGCTAAAAACACATCATTTAGTGTGATTTTTTTAAAATAAAAAGTGAAATCAATTATTATTTTCTTAAAAAATAAAATTATATTAATTGCAAGACCAAAATATCTCAAACTAGAAGTTAAAATAAAATATGAAAATCAGTAATCCGTCATATAACTGTTAATAAGTAAATAAATTATTTTTTTACATAACTACTAATAATATCATTCTATAATATATGAGTTTTTAACGATATAAAAAAATATATTCATATATTCAGTATTTTTTTGCGAATAAAAAATGAAAATGAGAATAACAAAAAATAAAATGTGTGTACATATTTTAATATTTATCTTATATTGAGTTGGTATTTTTATAATTTATNTGTGTGTACAAATATTTATCTTATATTGAGTTGGTATTTTTATAATTTATTAACTACTTTGTCTTTTAAATGAATAAATTTTACTTCTCGGGCGAAAGGAATTTCGTTTAACTATTATTTTTGTTGAATGAATATTTAATAATTTAAACAAAAATTAGCACATTATCGGATCACTAACGAAGTATAGATATCTCTTACATTCAAGATGAATTGATTTTATTTGAAATTTAAGAATTTACTGAGGTTTTATTGATCTATAATTGGTATTTGTATACATTTAGGATACACAATATTTCATGGTTTTGGAAGATAAAATAATTTTATTAAACGACACCGTTTTGGTTAATCAATTATATAGATGAATCAGTCAATAATGAGTTATTAAAATTTAAGAATTTATAATTGGTCAAACTGTTATGTTACATATTTCTAGATTATAATAGAACAAATAAGAAAATTTCAAAGGCAGTTGCATTTTGAGAAAAAATTTGTTCAAAAACGAAATAGTTTACCTACTTTTTAGTAAAGATAAACCTGTTCCTATTAAACTTCTCCATAAAAATAATTCACGTCATGTAGTTGTCCTAAATGTATTCTGTAAAATTGTTATTGTAATATAAATACACTCTGCCTCAAATGATCATTTGACATTATTTTTCTAATATAGACAATTTATTACATTATCTTATTATTTAGTACGAAGAGATGTATGAGAATGTATAGGAGTGTTAACATAATTAAGGCAATTTATGTAAATATTATGATTAAAAATCAGTAGTTTTAAAAGATATACTAATTATTAAGACGATCAGTATAAATTGAAATTGTACAAACGTTTATAAATATAATTAATGCTTTGAAATTATTTGATTTGATTTAATTATTTTTAGTGCACTAAATTTTTTTTCTATTTTATTTAATAACTGTCTTATACATTGTATACTTGATCAGTTATTATTCTGTGATATAATTATACGCAGTTTAAACGTGAAAATTAATTTAAGATAACATTTATACTTGCTATATATATATATATATAAACACGTTTGGTCTAAGTTTTAATAAAAAAAGTCACAATTATTTTCTCTAAATGTCAATGTATATAAATTAAATGCTGAAATACACGCATGAATTAATAAAAATACTCTTTGTTGGTTTTTAGTTTTAATCAGATTTAATCTAAGATTTTTACTAGATGTTTTTGAAATGTAATAAAATGAATAAAATTGTGTTATATTCTATTATTTTTATTTATTAAAAAACTAAGAAAAACTTCAGTTGTTATTTTTTAATTTGATGGCTACAAAGTTTTAAATAAAAATAGTTATAATATTTACTAACATTTTAGAAAAAATTTATTAAATAAGTTAAAATATAAAATTCAAAAATATTTTTTTAGATATGAAATGTTCTATAGAAACGTGTATTGGAACAAGTAGTGGTACTGCATCGTTACTACAATCAGACACTTCAAGAATAGTAATGGGCAAGAGTGTCATCAGCGAAGAAAATGTAGCAGGTAGTCGAAGCAGACTATCCACATTACCTATGGGATGTCAATGTCAATGCATACAGCCTATGCCAATATTTAGGGATGATATGCATATATGCGTCGATGACCTACAAGGTAAGCTTAAATAAATAAGTTTAACAATGACATGCATTTTAGCTTCGATGCGAAGCTGAGAAGGTATTTTTTTGCTGCTGTTGAATGGTATATAACAAAACAATTTAAAATGCAAAAATCACTATCACTGACGAATTCCTCTGCAGACATTTATTACTACTTCCGTTACCGAGCACATTCTGACATAACATTAAAAATGTTAGTAATAATGAGCTCAATAATATAAAACAATCGATCTTATTTATATGGCAGTTACAATATGATGTTTAGAATGGCCGTGTCTTAAAACATTAAAAATAATGGTATACTGAATTTTGCGAGAATTCTCAATAATTCCATAATACATCAATCGACTTTTTTGTATTCAACTACAAAATGTACATGTGTTCGTGTAAGTTATTTCACATATATAACGAACACCATACATCGTATCTATCAATATTATTGATACAATAACAAATAACTATTTCTCGGTTAGTTTACTAACCGAGAAACATCAATCTATACCGTGAGTGTATATAAAAAAAACAATAACGTGTATAATATAAATAATTTTTTATCTACTATCGACTTAAGAAACGCAAAAAGTAATCTAGTAACACGGATTTTTTTTTAATAAACGTTATAAAGTCTTTAATCGAAATTTCGAATATTTCATACTTTCAATTATTAATTGTTCATTTTTATTTAACCACAAATTTAATCTAACCGCGAACAATCAATTGCAATATTTTTTAATGGGTTGGTTTTAAATATTTTAATTAATAGTATATTACTGAAATTATTAAAGTAAAATATAATACTCATCACGGTTGTTCAACGTCTCTCATTAAATATTATATAAAGAAAAATAATGGGGTAGCATTAAAAATCTTATAGATTTACGTTACAATTTTTGAAACTATTAGTACTATTAAATTTACTTTACCCATGTTACTAATAGTATCTATGTCAGTTAAATAAAAATTTCAGCTAAAAATATAATATTATAAAGTTGAATAATTGAGACATAAATAATAGATATTTTAGTTGATAAATAGAATAAAATATAACGGTTTAAACAGCTTATTTTTCTGTTATACATATATTCTCGATTTCTCAAATGATGAGTATTATATTTTGTCTATTTAAAAAATATATCACGTTAAATCTACTACATACTTAGCATAATATCTGGATATTTTCTCAATATTTTATTATCATGTTTATTACTGAATGATGAGGAAACTAACTCAATGATAGTTAATATCATTAATATGATAATTCTATCATTGTTAAGTCAAAAAAAAAGTTTACTTTAACATAAAATTTAAATGAATCTTTTTAGTTTTACAGAATTCTTTAAGTAGTAAAATATAGACAGTAATCTTATTTTAACAAATCTATTTATTATATAACACTCAAAAAACTAAGGTTTATAATTAGACGGTAGTGATAATTGTAGCCATACAAAAATATCTAATTAGTTGATTTGATATTGCAGAATGTTCATTAGCATCATTTGTATCTGGAACAACGGTACAAAAAATACCTTACGTTTTTCTACCCCTACAAGGACAAATTGTGTACCCAAGTGCAGAAATTAAAATTGCTGGTAATTTTTTTAACCTTTTATTATTTCTACAAGTAATATTATCGGAAATTTTTAAATGATAGCATATTATTAACTGTGAATAGTCATATATTTACATAACAAATTATTTTTCCATAAGAAACGCTACACATATTGACTATGTCATGAATATTAAACATATAAGTAATTATTAAGCCGTACCAAAAATTGAATAGTGACATACAACACATATGTCACTAAAATTATATAATTTAAACAACTTTTTTAAAACTATAGCCACGTCTTATTCAATATTTTTCATTAAATCTAATGTTTTAATTAAACAAACAGTTTAAAAAAATGATTTAAAAGTATAACCATAGTTATATTAATCAATTTTGTTTTTTTATATGAAGAGGTACGTATCCAGCTGAGATATGGCAAATGTAAACATAAAATATAACATGCTACCTACTTCTTCAGAGAAAAAAAATGATACTAATCATAAAACATTAATGAAATTTATATACATATTATTCTAATCTTTAACTTCAAAATTAAATTTATTTCACATCTAAGATATTTAATACTAATAATTTTGACGTATTTGAATTATTACTTTTTAGGTATGCAGTATCCTATGTGTGCTATTTCAAGAGCTAAATTTTTAACTCGAAGTGGTTGGGTTAATTTTAAGAACCAATCAGATTTTGAAACTCCATTCCAAATACATCGTGAAAATGGACATATTATGCTTCTAGTATGCAATTAATTTTAAATATGAATTTTCTCGAGATATATTAAATAAATTAACTGAATTAATTCACAAAAAAGAATATGATTAACATTATAATAAATTAAAATGTATCCAATAAATTACTAAGCGTCAAGAGAATGATTTTAATTTATTCATTAATTTAAAAACTCTATAAAGAAATATTAGTTTTTATAAACAATTTATTTTCATTTTTAACCATTAATTAAAAAACGCAGTGATTTTTTACAAATGCTAAAGCTTATAAGATATCAATTCAAAAAGAGATTTTTTTTCGTTTTTGATATTGAAGATGTAACTGAAAGTTTTCAAATGTATTTGAAAATAATTTAGTTGTAAATTTTGAAATAACAGTAACAAAAAAATTTCTCAACCAAACAAAAAATTATAATGCATTTTTTCACTTATTTTTTAGTGGATGGGTAATTTACAGTTAAGATCTAGTGTTGAAGGTCGTTTAGTTTTGGTAGAAATGATTTGTAAGGAATCAATACAAGATTATGAAGATAATGCTCCACAAACTGTTACTCCTTGTATTTCATTTCGAATAGCAGGAACACCGAGTAATTTTTTTAGTTAACAAAATTTGATGTAAACTTAATAATAATTATTAATATACTATTATTAGGTGTAAAGGAAGTTCTATTTTCTACGGATAGTAAAACATCAGAACATACACCCAGCAATGGATTGACTATTAGTGAACTTGTCACTATTGGAATATGTTCTGTTCTACTCGGTTTAATGTATGTAGCTTCTATTTTATTGTTCTTACACGTGCGCAAAAGACGTTCAAAAGAAAGAACTGACGATGTAGAAAAATTTAATAATCCTAATGTATCTAAGGAAATATCTGAAGAAGGAATAGTGAAAAATAATCCACTTCTACAACATAATTATAATGATAACGAATCATTTGAACCAGATGATGACAATATTTATAATATACATTCACCTGAGGAAACTGATACTTTAGAAATTGTAGAGAGAAGTTATAAAAATGTTAATACTACTTAAAACATAATTTAATTAAATAAAATAATAATAATTATAATTATAATACTTTAAATTATTTAAATTATTTTAGAGAAGTTTAACAACGGCCATAGTGCACCCCAATCAATTACACAGGTCATTTATTAAACATTCTGTATCTACGTATAACTCTGATTCGAATTCAATCGAAAAACATCCAGAGGAAGATGTATCGATAGTTGAAACGCTGGAAAATAAAGAAGATCAATGTGATAATATTAGATCTATTGTATGTGCTAATCCAAGAAGAAAACTTTATTTTAACCCAGCTTATTTTCAACCCGAGCTACTCTTAGTAATTGTTTCTATTAAATTTTTTGACTTAATATAATACATATTTAAATTTATTTACATCATCCGTTTGTTTTAGGCACCACCGCCAGCAGCACTGGAATTTTTAGATAAGATTCGAGAAGTTATATATGAAGCAAAAAGGAAAATCGCAATGAAAAAATTTACGCCTAATCTTATTGTTATTCAAGAAGATAAATATGAAGAATCCAATGACAAATCATCCTCTTGTAATAAATGTAATGATCAGTTTAAAATTAAATCAGATACGATTCAAAAGTGGTTAATGGATGTCCCAACAGAAGTAACCAAGAATCAGTTACTAACAAAATCTATTAGCCCCAATACAACAGTTTATGCGAACTCGAAAGATCTAACTATTGAGTTATTCAAACAAGACGAACTAAAAGTGGACATAAAAGTTTTTAATGATATTGATGACGACAATGAAGAAGACGCAAGTACAAATATTGAATGTGACAGTTTAGAGAGGTCAACGATACACAAGCAAAAAAGTGGTTACCACACCCCATCCGAATACGGAAATCCAAGACAGGAATTAAGTCCTGTTTTGAGTAATTCATCGTTACCACTAGAAGAAGAACTTACAATAAATACATCATATACTTACGATACTGTCACAAAAAGAGAAAGTTATTACGATCATATATCTGGTCCGGATTGTGTACGTGAAAAGCCTAAAAAGGAAATTCTTCCTGATATATTGAACAGGTCCTTTGAATGTTATAATTTAGTTAGTGAAGTTTATGTAAATGATGGATTCAGCACGAGTTTATCACCATATAATACTTTAGGTAATAATATTAAGAAGAAAAGTCCTGGTCAAATCACTATTGAGGTTGAAGATTGTCCAGATAATCACCCAGTCGAAGATTCTGATCATTTTGAACCCGATACATTAGATCGAATTAGTAAGAAAAATTACGATTTTAAGAGCCCACTTAAGCCTGTGTATTCGACAGATTTTTTTGAAATAACAGTATCGTCCAACCAAAAACCTATTAAAAATGGGTTGAATAGTTTGTTAGAAATTTACGAAGCTAAAAGCGTTATAGCTGATGTCCAAAAACGTTGGAATATATCAGACAATAACAACTACTTGATGCCCGATCCAAAACATAGTAGACGGCAGAGATGCCCATCGCCACCTCCAATACAAAATCATCCAAAAAACGTGTGTGTCAGAAGCACTAGCAAGCACGGAGCTATGCATGTGGGATGTTTAAGCTCTCAAAATGGTATTAAGCAAATTAATGATAACATAGCTAGTGCTTCTGACAAACGAGTAAATGTTTTGCAAAACGATGTTCATAAATACGAAGATTCTGGTTATCTTAGTACTGAATCCGGCGAATCATTTAGTAAATCTGTAGCTATAGGATTGGATACCGATGAGTCTGGCGCAGAGAGCATAGATACTGATTTTAAGTACTTTAAAGTACATAGAAATCGTAATTACTGTGATTGGTAAAATTAATACATCAAAATATTTTGTTTATTTATTAATTATAATGATTACCAAAATTAGATTAGTATATACAGAGTGATCGGTTTATTATAAACCGCTCAATTACTCACAAAATAAATACAATATTGGAAAAATAATTTTTGATTTCTTCCATATAATTCTTGATTTATCAGTTAATAGTTATTTTTTTAGGATTATCCCTTATTTTTAATTTTTTAAATGGAAAAATACATATTTAACCAGCTTATAAATAGAAAATAGTCTAATTAAAAAAATGATTGGTCAATAACAACTTTTGGATCAGAACTTTGGATATTATTCTCATTTTTATATCTAGGCGGGTTGAAGAGTATAGCCGGTAAATGACTAGTGTTATAAAAGCAGCACACATTCCTCACCTTCGGTCATTACTTTAAATTACAAAAATGTTACATAAGGGATGATCCTAAAAAGTATTTATTAGCTGATAAATCAAGAACTATATGTAAGAAATCAAAAATTATTTTACGAGTAATCGAGAGGTTTATGATAAATCGATCATTCTGTGTAGGTTATTATTGATAACTCCATACTATTACAATTTTTAACTTTCATTTTAATTATTGTATAGATTGTATATAACCGATTTCATCTCATAATTATTGTCAAAATAAATACATAAGTTTCGAACATTATAATTTACATTTTTTCTTTTTTAAATTATAATGATACTTTGTCAAAAATGTGTCATAAAATGTTTCAAATAAAATTTCATTTATTTCAAAAGAACTCTTAAAATTATTTAGACTAAAAAGGAAAAAGAAATTATTTATTAAAAATCCAACAACAAATGTTAAATAATATTATTTTTTTTACGCGTTTATAAATTAGTTTTTTTTACTTTTTTTTTAGTAATATTTAAATGTTTATTATAATAAAACCAAAATTCGTTGTTTTTTGTTGATTTGTCATGGATTTTATGACTACTTTTAAAACTACTTAATTTATTTTAGTTTTTCTTAAAATAATTAATTTTTACTTTCTTTGTCTATAATTATTATTTAAATATTGTAAAATACTTGTATATTTGTAGTTGTTAATAATGTAGTTAAAATGTATAAATAATTATATTATGAAAAAATCGTTTTCATATTAGGCTGGGTTAAGTGCAATTATAAATCAATTGACTGTTTTATGTCAGATCGACTATTTAATAATTAAAAACCACTTTTCAATCACACTAAAAAGAAAAAATGTTAATTGATTAATTTTCTTGTGTTTTATTTAATATTTTTTTAATAATTTAATTTTTTAATTTTATAATATATGATATGTACTCAAATTTAATAGTTAATTTATCACAAAGTTTTAACTTAAGTACCTACAAAGTGTAATATTTTACATAAAAAATTATTGTGATTTCCATAGAACTATTTATCGAAAATGAATAACTTTGAAGTATATTATAAAGTATGCGTCAGAAATATGTATATTGTAAACATTTTTGTAAATACAAAAATAAGACAACCGACTGATTATTATATTGTTAAATTTGTTTTTATAAACAAAATTGTTAAACTTTAAAAACATGTGCGAAATTGATAATAAGAAATTATTATAGTTCAATAAAAAAATAAGTAAATATCACCATTTTTGTTTAATTAAAATAATTAGATAGATTATATTGTTATATATAATTAAATATCAACCCTAAATGCGTGGTTTAATATTTTAATGGTTTTATTGTTTCATAAAAATGTTGTACAAAAAATAAATTTTAAATAATTTTTAATACTTTATTTTATTAATTATGCAGTATGGATATATTTAAGCTTGTAATTTATTTTAGCGGAAATTAATTGGTAAGTTTCACAATAAAAAATTTTATTTCAAATTTAATTTGACTCTTCGACAGATTTAGTAAAAATTTATAAATTAGGAGAAAAATGAGTAATTTAGGTCTCAGTATAAGTAATATTTTAACTATAAATATTTGTATCTTGACAAACAACTATTAAATAGTCATAAATAGTCACTATTTATTTTAGCTTCGATGCGAATCTTTTTTTTTTTTTTTTCTCTGTTATCACTTTTTCTCAGCTCTCACCGAACCGATTTCTCTAAATGATACGTCAAAAGATCACAAATCGTATCTAGTCGAAGAAATTACCCTCAAAAATTGAAAAAATTTCCCTCATATCCCGTAAATGGGGGAAACCTCCAAAAAAAATACAAATTTAAAAATCGCTTATTTTCGAAATTCTTTCAATTTATTTACTTAAAACTGCCATAACTTCTTCAAAAATGGCCCAATCAATATCAATTTTTTTTATAGATGCATGATGTCTTTACCTATCATTTGGTATATTTTTTTTATAAATTTAACCCTTTACCGGCCCACAAAGGGGATTTAAAATGACAACTTTTTCACAAAAAATTAACTTTTGAAAGTGTTCCGGAAATACTGACACTTTTATATATATCTTAAATTAAAGCTAATATAATATACTTTATTATGAAAAAAATAAATTTCGGACTTTATTTTGTCTTCACGGTGAAAATGGCTACCGTATGCTATTTTTGTGTTAAAATTCTCGATTTTATATTTTACATTTTTAACTTTAAAATGTAATAACTTTTTGAAAAATGTATGGATCAATATAATTTTTTTATGAGAAATAATATTTTTTAATAATCCCTCTTTCATTTGACATACTTTATCTTTATCAGGATATTAATAAGGAACTAGTAGATCATGTAGCTTTTGGAATAATTCACCAATTTTTTAAAATTAAACACTATCTAAAGATTTGCATCAAAGCGTTTTTTTTTTATAGTGATTTTAATCACTGTCAGATATCATTAACCTACACGTCACCACTGTGCCGCGACCCCCCTGTGCTGGTTTTTTTTATAAAGGATATATATATTTTTTAATGAATATTCTAATATAAGTGTGCAGAAAATTAACATCGGCATCTCCTTCTTACAATCGCACTCTGCACTATTTATATACAATTTTTATTCTTACCAATTTTAATCTCGTGACATTCCATTTCTCCCTAGGAATAATTACTTCTTCAGCAACAAATTCTTTGAGTATACTTCTTAGTTCTTTTAAATCTGATACTAAGATGTTTTTATTTAAAGTAATAAGTGTTCTACCATTTAATTTAGTAATATTTGTGTGATCTGGCAAGAATTTTGTTAATAACTGTATAAACATTTTTATACTGACTAATGAACTATAAAATAAATTGCAGTTAAAATAAAAAAATAAAATTATCGACATCAATAATTAATAGAACTTACTCAGAAAATAATAGTAATTTATATTCATATTGTGAAACTGGTTGTAAATTGATAACAATTGATTTGAAACAATTAAGTGAACATTGAAAAAACCACTCATTAATGCAATTAAATTTGAAATTATCAATTAATATTTTGGTAATATCCTTTAAATTTAACAAGCATTTAATTTCATAACTTGATAGGAATTTGGTATAATGAACAACAAGAAGATCTTCCACTTAAAAAAATTAAAAAATAATTAATTAAAAAATAGTTTTTTTTTACTCTGAGAGGGTCGAAAAGCTCCTTATAAATATGCTTATGCGTTAATTAAGTTTTAATAAAAATTGAGGAGTGTTAAAAGAAACTAAGAAAAGTCCAATAAAAATTTTCTTTGTGTATCTAGATAGAAAAAGAGGCATCATAATTATTAATTTTCTGACAAACTTACCAAGAATACTATTGTTAAAAAAAATACCAAATTCTTTACTCATAAATAAAGTAGATGTAATGTGATATTTCTCAACATTCTTATATTTAAAACCTGAAATAATATGACCAATAACTTTTAAAAACACTAATTTTAAAATAGTAATAATAGCAGATTTATTGAGTGGGATTTCCAGTGAGTCTCAATCACTCTCAGATATTGATATTTTTACAATATATAGTATATAGGGTAAGACTGATAAATTTCTAAGTAAATTTTATTTTTTACAATCTTCGTCCAAAAAAATGTTGAATAAATCCATTGACAATTGGTAATGAATATTATTACTTAAAGTTATTAATTATTTTAAATATTTGAAAATACTTGTTTTATGGGTTGAATATTTTACTAATACTTAAAATCACAACTTTACGTCAAAACTAATAAGTAAGCTTATGTATTTTTAATAAATACCTCCCATATATTAAAAATTTTTACACTAAAATCAATCATATAGAAAGAAACAATATTTTTTTAAAATTATAAAATATATTATTAAAAATCTGTTTAATTAAGATAATAAGAATTTATTTTTGTAATCATAATGTCTTTTGTCTTTAAATAAAAAATAGTTTTCATCAATCTAAATCCTTGTTGGTTTTAAAAGAAAAAGTAGGGTTATTAGTATTTTTAAATTTAGAAATGAAATAATTTTTCATGGTGATCCAAAAATATAAGCAAATTTGATTGTCAGATTGCACCTAAATAATATTTATTTTATATTAAATCAAACTGTAAGAATACCCATAATAAAGATTTAATGTAGTGCATTTTTGTTTTAGTCAATTTTTAACAATTTAATTCATTCAAAATATAACGCCACCCTTAAAAATATTAAAGTGTAAACCCACCAAAACTTATAAAAATATTTTTTATTTTTATTCGATTCAATATAATAGTTTCTTACCAAATTGATTTGTATCATTAATTAACATTACGTTAATGACATATGGAAGTGTTTCATTACCCCATTCATGAATAAGACCTATAAAACAACAGATATTTTTTATAATATAAAATGTTTTTGAATTTGAACCATAATACTTACTTACAAGTAACAATTACTGAAGTTTCTGGTTTTAAATATAAATTGTTACCTTCAAATGAAAAGTTATTAGAGTTTCCGGAGTGGAAATTCAAAACATTGTTATTTGGCAATATAGACCAACATTTATACCAAAAATTGGGCCAAACTTCTTCTCCATTTTTTAACAACAGTACATTAAAGTTTGACAATTCTCTAATGACAAAAGATAATTATAGAACGTTTAATCAATAATAAAAATTAATGGATCAAATAATACTTATACATTTTTGATTTATTTTCTATAGTAAAACCGAAAATTAATTTTTCGTTATTTAACTTAAGCCAAGGATATTTGACAATAACAGCTAGTGAAGAATCTAATTCCTTGTCTAAATCAAATGATAAATTGCTTTCCGTTAAATATTGTTTTACGGTTTTATAAAGAGATGATGTCTTTTGAGATAATTTTGTTCTTTCAAATTCAGAATATAGTTGTAGCTTCTAAATGGAAAAACAGAGTTATAGTTAGTATATTTATTTAATAACATGAAACAAATAAATTTAATTAATGTAATAGGTATGCCTGTACCAGTGCCATCGCGTGAATCTGACAACTGGCAAATTGCAAATTTTGCAATATTTAAATTTTTTTACTTAAAACTGTCATGACCTTTTTAAAAATCAATGAATCAAAACAATATTTTTTATAAATACCTAAGATATTTTCTTTTTATTAGGTATATATTTTTTGAAAATATATACCTTTACCTGCCCACTGGAAAGAATTAAAATAGCAAGTTTTGCACAAAAATTTAACTTTTATCTACTTAATTTTTGAAAATGTTCATGAATACTCCAAACATCAAACATATATTAAAATAAAACTTATTCTATGTTCTGTAAGTTAAAAAAAATTTGTCCCAACGAATGATCTTCTATGTGATTTAAATATTCTATGTTCAAATGACTGCCGTTGATAAAAAACATGCTATTTTTGTAATACAATTTTCAATTTTTTATTTGAAACTTTAAATTGCTATAACTTTTTGAAAAATGTATCAATAAACATAAATTTAATTTTTATAAATACTTTACATATACCCCTTTCATTCAATTTAGGATAAACTTCAAATACATCCAATTAAAATATTTTGCAGCTTTAATGTCAATACAATAAGTATATTAAAAAGAAGAGGCTGTCCATATAAAAAATATGTTCTAGCTATTAATGGCTTATGATAAATAGAGGTAATGAAACACAGAGAAATTCTTTTAATAACCACTCTTATACACTTGATTTTTTTTTAAATAATAATTTTGTTAAGAAAATCCTTTTTAGTACTTTTTAGTTTAATATATTTATTGGTTTTTATCAATTATAATAATTTCTTTAATTTATCCTTTATACCTTATAAGGGTGTAAATTTTATTTCTTTTAAAAGAAACATTCACAATTAAGAAGCTTATAAAAAAAAAAAAAAATGATGAGTCAATAACAAATTTTAACACATTTTTTCAAAAAGTATTTTTGATTAGTCATTTTTTATTTTATGGGCTAGTTAAATATGTATGTTTCCATTAAAAAAACTCAGCACAGTGGAGTCACGGCACAGTGAGGACGTAGCATAGTTGGGTCCAGTATAGATTTAATCTGACAGTGATTAAAAACACTATCATTAAAAACACTTCGATGCAAATCTGTAGATAGTGTTTAATTCTAAGAAATTGGTGGATTATTCAAAAGCAAAATTCTAACCCAAAAAGAATTAAGGAAAAATTGCAAAAAAATCATTGCCACTGGCAATTTATTATAAAAGCAAAATGAACTCCTATTTTCTTATTTATAATATAATTAGTAATTCTTAGATTCAAAAATATAATATATAATAATTAATTTTTTAATTATATATTAGATAATTTTTATAATTAATTATTTTCAAATAATTATTGATTTTGATTTTTAATATGTAAAAGTAATTACTTTTAATCTACTTTTTTTTGTCCTTTAAAGTGAAAGTTTATATTAAAAAAAAAAAAATGAATTTATTACCATAACTTTTAGCTCAACTTGCAAGTTTCAAATTGACATAATCAAATAGAAAATTATAAATTTGATTATAATCGTAAAAATTGATTGTTAAATTCAGTAGAAACTAATATTCATTTTTTTCTTTGATTTGTGATTTATATAGCAACATGTTACCAAAAATTAGGAATATTAACAATCCATAATATTCCAAAAATTTGGAATGTTATAGACTATTAGTAACACACACAAATAGAGTTGAAAAATTAATAAATTACAATGTAAAATTATATACTTTTGCAGTTAAATACTTTTATCATATCAAATCTAATTTGACAATAAATACATTAAAAATATTAGAAATGAATCATTTTAATTGTTTGTATGGATAAAGATGTTTAAGGTATTTTATTTGATTAAGGGATTTATTTCAAAAAAAAAAAATAAAATAAAAGGCAAATATCTAAGGTTTCAATATAAAAAAATTTAGGTTGATTTGTTAATTTTTGAAAAAGTTATGCTAATTTTAAGAAAAAAAAAGACAAAATTTACCGATTTTAAAAATTGTAACTTTTTTGGAAATATCCCCCAATACGGGGAACGAGGGATTTTTTTCAATTTTTAAGGATAATGTCTTCAACTAGATACAATTGAGATCTTTTGACATATTGTTCATCAAAATCGGTCCAGTGAAAGCTGAGAAAAAGTGGCAACAGAAAAAAAAACAAAAACGTATCATGGTAAAATTAATATCTTCTCAGTTTTTCATTGAAGCTAAAATAAAGTTGACACAAATATAAGTTATAAGGGAACAATTTTAAGAAAATAATAATAATTAATAAATCGAAAAATATGTAAAAATTAAAATTACCATAATGATTATCTTATATAATCACTTTTTATACAAAAACTTATAACTTTTTATAATTTTACCATAAACATTACAATACTAAATTATTAAATATCAATTTCATACTGAATTTCATTACCATAATAAGTACTAATTTTTATATTATACCTACAAATCATAAAATTTATAATGAGGATATATATATGGATATAGGAGTTTATGTTGCTTTGGAATAATTCCTTCTAAAAATTAAACACTACTGATTTACATCGCATCATTTTTTATAATAGTAGTTTTATATGATAGTGATCACATTAAGATATTATCTATACTTGTCCCAACTATTCCCTATCCCCATTGTCTATTTTTTTTAATTTAAAAGGGAATTTCATTTTGTTAATTTAAATATTTAGATAATTGAGTTAGCAAACATTTTAGATTCAAGAAATTTGCAGTAACTAAATTCTAGTTGGTATAAGAATTTATTAGAAAATTAGTAGAATTATGAATATAATTAAATACAAATATTTAAACATTTACCTGCAATTTATTCATACAAAATGAGTAGACATTTGATATTTCTTGATTTTTACTTTGTTGTTCATATTTTGTATCATTATTTTCATAAAAGTCATTTATACATTCAAAATCACCATCAAATTTCAAATATAACTGAGGTACACCAGATTTTAATTTATCAAAAACAATCATTTGATTTACATTATTGTATGTCTTAACAATCTAAGTATAATTGTAATTTATTTAGTTAATAATTATAAATGAAGAAAAAAAGTAAATACATAAACTAAACGTCTATTTTAAATCTTTGAACTTAATTATCAATTATTAAATTGCTTTGATTTTTTTTGAAATGTCATTAAATACCTAATTTTGTCCTATAACATTGGTTTATTAATTTTTTAGCTAAAAAATCAGATCATTAGCTTCCTGGAATTTTAATCTCTATAGTCAATATGAAACAGTTTAATTTTTTATGTTTGATCTAAATCTATAAAAAATAAATAAAATCATGTTTGTATACAGTTACCTTAAGCTCTGATTCCTCTTTAACAATAACAACTTTATTTTCTCCATGCAAAATGTAATAATATTCAATTTTAGGTTCATAAACAATAAATGGTTCAATGATATTAACAATTATATTTACAATACAGTTTTTAATCAAACAGCTCTTAAAGAATGTCAATATTTTTTTATCATTTGTACAAATAACTATATCACTCTGAGTTCCTGAAAGAAGGCATACATTCTTAAATTTAACTAGACTTAAATGATTATAATAGAGCATACCTAATCCTCTCACTGCAACAGTAACTGACTGTTTGTATGATTCAGGGATTTGTAGCTGATAATTCATTATACATATAATTTTATATTATCGTTATAAATAATTTTACCTCGTCAATCGATTTCAATATAATTAAAAAATGACAAAATACTAATAAATAAAAATAAAATAGGTAAACAATTTCTTTAAACACATTTATTTTAAAATAGTAAAAAATAATTACTAAAAAATATGAATATTTCTTAATAAGGAATAATTGAATTATAAAATTATATATTCATTTACATGAATTTCACACCATAAAATTTTAAAATTTTTTAAGAATAATAGAAATTAATAACTGTATGAATTATTAATAACCGGTATTAAAATAATTATGATAACACAAATCAAATAGTTTTATCACAAAATATATATGATCCTATCTACACAGATTATATAGTTTGTGTTATCTATTTTGTGGTCAAATACTATAAGCATAGATCATAGAGTGAGATAGAAACGCCGTCACTATCACGGCAGTGTTCCAAGATAGTTGCCAAACCGTCGGTTATTCACATAGATATTATATGATCAATGATTATTTACCCTTACAAGGAGTTAATTGACGATAAATTAGGTCGCTAAATTGCATTAAATTTTATTTCGAAAAGACAACCGTTTTATGATAACAGAAAAATATTATGTTAATTTTGTTAAATTTATATTATAACTAGTGATGGGCATAATCGAATGATTTCGATAATCGAATGATTGGTAATCGAGACATTTTCATAATCGAGTGAATCTCTCGAAAAATCACTCGAAGTTATAATCGTCTGCTCGTATGATAAGAATAATCAACTATTATTATTTATCGAGAGAATCGAAAAATTATTCGAAATATGAATAAATATACCTATAGTAAATAATTATTAATTTAATTTTGCTTTTTTTATTTGTTGGTGTTTATTTATAATTATTATATTAAACTATAATTTAGGAATAATAATAACAATAATATATTAATAATGCATTATTAATAAGTGCTTTAAATAAAAGACAAGTTGTTATTTTTATTATTTAATAATTATTACCTATATTTTAAAAAAACCGATAACAAATTTAAAAATAAAAACATAAGATAAGGTAGCAATAGCCTGCTTGACCATCATAATTAAAACACCTAATTCCACACCTAATTGATTTTTCATAAATTCACAACTAGTGAGAGAATCAGAACTCAGTAGTTTAGCCAGTTCAGGACAAAACTTTGTTCTAATCGTCACATACTTCCCAAAAATGTGACAGATAAGGTGTTGTCATGAGTAGCGATTGAACGAGTTGAAAATAAGAAGACTCGAAGTCAATAATTTAATAATAATTCGACTATAATTTATGCTAAATAAAAACTTAAAAATAGTATTCTCTCGTTTCATCGTTTCATGGACATCATTCGAAATAACTTTTATTCGATTATATACATTTCAAGATCAAGAAATCATTGTTTTTATAATAAACGAGAAATCATTAGAAATAATCACTCGATTTTAGAATAATCAATATTATTTAAAAAATCAGAATATCTCGATTATATAATAGATATGATTTCAAAAATCGAAATATCTCGATTATGCCCATCACTAATTATAACATACACACCTATTTCTTTGAATATGGTATACTTTAAGAGAAGAATAGTATATGTTAAATCTGAGAAGTATTTTTCGTTAAAAGTATTATCACAGATAAGATAAACCTGATGTGTGGTATAATTGTGTTTACAATATAAAATATTTATGATATTTGTTTGTATTGTAATATTTTTATGCATATATGAATATAGAAATACCATAAACTATAATTAGTTTTAATAACTACAAATGTGTTTATATTATAACTTAAAAAATGGGTCTTTTAATATTCGTGTGTTTTGAAATATTATTTAGCATGTATAAGTAAAAATGTAACTCGAGTTTTACCTAGTTAAATTTTTTTTTTAATTTTAGTTTATTATTTATATTCTATGTAAACTCGTGATGTTATTAATAAAATCACTACTGCAGAAGACGACAAGTCTATTTATACTTTTATTTATTGTATTAAAAAATTTTTTTCTATTAGCTATTTAGAAATTTATGTATATATTTTTTTCACTGATTCTTAAATAATTGATAGTTTAAATCGAAGTGAGTTAAAATAGAAAATATACTTTTACATAGCAATTGATTATTATAATGTCTTATAAAAAATTATAATAGCATGTGCAATCATATTTCCACAAAATAATAAAATTAAATAATAATTTATGTACTTTATTTCATAAATAATTTCTTGTAATTATTAGTTAGTAACAATATTTCAAATATGTACAATAAATTTTTGACATAGAAATTTACTCTCTTTACTTATGGTAATTAACCGCGCCTCTATCTTATCTTGTGGAACATATTAAATATGTAATGATTATCATTCTAAACAAACTATTTCATTATTAAAAAAAAAAACAAAATGTTTAAAATTGTAAGAATAAATCTGTGACTATAGTAATGAGTGATTCTTAAAAATATCAATTTTCTTTACAGAGGAACCAATTTTATAATAGGCTAAGAAGTTTAAAATGTTGTAAAGTAGTAATTTCATATTATTTAAGTTCATTTATTTATAATTCAAGAGATGGAAGATTGGTCGTAGAAAAGCCAATAATTTCGAGAATTAAAATTAATTGTTTTGCACATCATGCAAAATTTTACCGAATTATTAGTTTTAGTACAATGCTCTACATTATTTATTTTTTAATTTTAAAAATATCAGCTGATATATATAATCAATAAAGTATCAAAAATAACAACTTCATTGGAAAACTGTTTAATTTTAAAATAAGAATATTTTACAAACATAAGTATAATTTTTACTACAAAATTATTATATAGTAAAAAAACACATCATGGTAAAATAAATACCTTCTCAGCTTCGTATCGAAGCTAAAATAAACAACTTATTTATTTAATTTTAGTATAACACAAAATAAAAATATTTGTTTACTTTTGTTCATGGTGACATACATTCCAATTAATTTAATTCATTTTTTTCAAGTATTTTACTTAACCAGATTTTGCTTATTTACATTAGATAATCAATAAATCAGAAAAACTGAATTAAAATGAAAAATAATTCAAATTTTAATCATCTTGATGTACAAAAAATATTGAAATTGCAAGTAAAATTGTATGATTCATAACATTTTATTAAAATGACAAAAAAAAATATCAACGTTTCAAGAAAAAGTTTTACCTACAATCATTGAAATTCCGCATTGTTAAATTAAAATCATTGGTATTTATGAATTTATGTCCTATAACATAATGTAATAAGTCTTTATGATATAAACTTTTGAATTTAAATTATAATGTTTAAAAAACCACTTTTAGTTTTCAATAGTAATTTTTTTAAAAATTTAAGAGATGTTATATCATTATATTTAAGGGCTACATATGTCATATTAATAAACAAAAAATGGATTTAACTATCTAATATTGTTATAGAAATATCTTTGTACATTTTTTTTACAATATTTATGAATGATTAAAAATATATTTTTAACTATTTCATCTATAATCATATCAACTTTAATTGAATGTAATCCATGGCATTTGATTTTATACAAAAGAAGAAGTTTGATACCAGATCATAGATTTCTATTATAAAATGGAAAATTGACTAATATGAAATTCTATCGTCGATAAATTGATTTTCATAGTTTAATTCTTCAAATTTCTTAATTCTTTTAAATACATCATACTATTGTTGATTATGAGTATAACACTGTTTATATAATAATAAAAGAAAAGAGTAAAATTTTGTTGTATAATATTTTTATATATGATAAAAATTTAAAAACATAAAAACTTAACAGTTTTCTATAAAAATAAAAACAACTAAAATTATAATGTTTACTATTCACTAGGAATTTCTGTATGAATTCTTATACCATGCATTGATTTGATTTCATTTTTTAATACCTGAAATAAACATAGTTATAACTATAATTAGTAAAAGTTTATACATTTTCAACAAAAATTATTGCTATATTATTAATAATAAAATTTGTTATAAAATTAATTTCATATATTAATAAAAAAGAATAGCGTTTCATAAATTACAAAAAAAAAAAAAAATTATTTAAATCTTACTGCAATTTTAATTGGTATAAAATATGTATTCTTATAATAAATTAATTAAAAAAAAAAATGTTTAATACTTTTTCTAAAATAAAAATTATATAGACATAATATAAAACTAGACTTTTCATTAGCCTTGACCCAAAAAATTTGGATAGCACTTAAGGATTTTTGTTTTTTTTTTTAAGTGCTGATTTAATAATAAAACTAAATAATTTTGTGACAAAATAAAAATAAATCCCACATAGTCAAGTTATGGGCTCATTCTCTAGAATTAGTACAATTTATTAAGTCAGGCCTTAGTACAGTTGATTCAGGAAACAGTTTTACCTAAGTTTACAATAATTTTTTATAATACTAATTGAATATCTTAGTAGAAAAATTATATATCAGAGTTTTTTGATATTGAATTCAAAAAATTATCATATATAACTCTAAGAAACATTATAAAAGTTTTTAAAAATTTAATTTTGTTTTCAATAATAATGAGTAATTCAAATACATTTTAGATGACACATGCAAAATAAAGTATGTAAATACGCATAAAACAAATTATATTATTACTATATTTTTTAGCATATTCATAATATTATTAACTTTTATTTTAAATTTATACGCATAATTACTATAAATTATAAATAGAATAAGAAGTTAGTTTGCTATACATACTTCATTGATAACCTGGTGTTGTTTTACTATGCTCAATCCTTTGAATTCTGTTGATGAAACATAAACTTCAAATATCGCTCCACATCCTCCTTCAAGAGATAAAAATTAAAATCAATATTTTTTTTGAAAGATGTAATAATTTACCTGATATATCTTTAATTTTAATTTCTTTTGCAAGGGGAAATTTTTTTTGTAATGACTGATGCAAAATTTTTTCGCCACCTTTAAGTGTTGCTACATTTGTACCATTGCTGTAGTTTTTTAAAACTACTCCCTAAAAAAAATTGCTTTTAAATATAGTAATACGATGTTTATATTTAAAACAATGTGAAAATTAAAATTAGTTCTCTATGCTTACAACATTCTCAATTGCCTTGATACTACGTTTTATGCAATAAAACATATTATTATAGTATATATTCTACGAGAAATTATAATTAATAAAAAATAATAATTTTAACAATAGAAAAACACCAATTGAATTAATATAAATTACTATTTTTTATGACATTAAATTTATCATAACTGTTATCACTAATTGACCACTATCATTACTCCTAGTCCAAAGTAAAAGAAACTAACATCATTTTATACGTTTATTTTTCTTAGAGAAGTAGATCATAGTTTGTTACTAAGTTCATTACAATGATTCACGGACATAAAGTATCAAAATGGCAGTCTGTCATCAAGAAAACTAAGTAGGAAACGTAATTATTTTTGTTGTTCTTGTATCTTCAATCTATCTATCAACACGGATTATCTTAGCTAACCAGGTACAAAAATAATAGTATAACATCACAATTTAAATAGTTTTGATACAAAGAACGTATTATTAATTATTACTGTGTTTACATATTTTCTAATATTTACACCTTTAAGCAAAAATGTAGGTCTCGAACTAAATTACATTTTGCCAACCAGCATTATATTGTTTTAATTATTTTTCATAAATTATTTTGGTTTAGATATTTCTAACAATAATTTTAAGATGAATACATTTTTTTTGGTTTCAAGCATTTTAACTTTTTGTATAAATTTAATTGAAAAGGACTAATTTATTATTTTTGTAGTAAAATGTAATATCTAAATTTTTATGTATTGTAATGAATTATGCTTTATATAAAATATTATTGAGTAATATATATATATACATTATTAATTTTATTCATCCGTAGTTTACTAGGGATAAAAATTGATCAACATTTTTTAGGACTCAAGTAAAATATGTCAAATAAAATTTAATCGTAGCATAAAATTTAAATTGAGAACTTGTATTAGCGAAAAACTTGAATTATAGAAGTATATTTTGCTTAATATTATTATACTCATTTTAATTTTCTAATTAATAATCCTAATTTGATTAACCTTTGTATACTTTTGAATTTAAAATTATGATTTATTCAAAAATAATAATTTTTTATGATTAGTCTTCAAACAAATTTTTGAAGCAAAATTATCTTCTGATGACCATATCAAACTTAAATGAGTTAATGTGGTATTTGTATGTACTATTTATTATAATTTATAAATTTTATAATTAATTTTTTAATATATCAAAAATTATTTTTATAATTAAACTTTTAAAAACTATTTAGTAAAATTTATATTTGTCATGTTACTTAAATGAATAACTAAAAAAATGTATACAGGTTGTTGTCTGTATTGTCAAGGTCAAATTTTGATAAATTTTAATATAATATAAATATTTTAAATTATAATAAATAATCCATTTAGTCCAAATTAATTTGGTAAAATTTTAAGTAAAAATTTGCTAAACCTAATTTAGTAAAGTTGTAATTATTACATTATATTTAATATTTATAAAATATTATTTATTTATTCAGATACATTATTTATAATAAGAAATGTAATGGAAAATTTTGATAAAGATGTTTTGGAAGATAGTGAAGAAGATATAGTGACAGATTACTCCCAAAATAACATCATCACAAATTCAAATTGTACTGATACAACAGATTTTATGTACAGAACCATGCCAAGCAGTACATTAGTTCCTACAATCAGTGTGACACCTCACTCATCAGCTGGAAGAAATTATCTTGTACTTGGTATTGGATTATTTTTAATCTTTTAAACTGGAATATAAATAAATATGTACATATTTTTTAATGTTTTTAAAGTTTTTTTTTAGTTTTAATAGTATAACTTTATGTAATTAAATTATTAAAAAGAAATAATGGTTGTGTATTTTATTTTTTAGAAGATAATATACAACAACTACATGATATTCATGAAGCAATTCAACAAATGCGTGATTCTGCTACGTTGGGATTATCTCATGTATGTCATATGAAGTACTTAATGTTAAATACATTTTATGATTTTATGGTTATTGATTACTATTATTCTAAACAATTTTAATAATAAATGTTCATTAGATTATTAAAAACAAAGTAAAATTTATGAATGCATTATATTATGTTCAATAAAACATTAGAACATGTTTTTAATTTTCAATCGTCTCCTGGGTCAAGGGTGTTTGATAGAATTTATAATAATAGTCATAACATTTTTTATTTATAAACATACTTTTTGTAGAATATTCATAAGATATTACAATAAAAAAATTTTATTTTAAAATTTTAGATGATTAATTTCTGTGGTTTTAATGGTGTGTTAAGTTCTTCTTGTCCATCATTAAGTAAACCCAAATGTCAACCTGATGACTCTTTCAATCTCAATTCATCACCTACGCATGCTGACTTATCTTCTGTTTTTGATACAAAGTGTAAATGCAAGCTAAGTTCTAATAATAAAAGTAAGTAGAACAATTTTTATTTTTTGAAATTTATTTTTATTTTTTTTTATTTATCTATCTTTTTTTTATACTATATTGATTTTATTGTTGTAGGAAAATCTATAGATTGGTATAACATGGTTTCAAACTGCGTTGATACTAAAGAAAATGAAATAATAAGAAGGAGAAGTTGGGCAGCCTTAGATGATTTGACAAAAAATCACTGCTTACAAATTCTAAAACAAGATAAAAGGTCAGTAATATTATCAAAAACCAATTGTAATTAAATTAATTACAACATTTTCTATTTCAGTGCAAGCCTAAGCAGTATGGATTCAGAAGCTGAAGACCCATTTGTAGACAGTACTATAAATCTATTAAAATCCAAAAATTATGATCAAAAATCAAGAAAAAATGTTGGTTTTATTAGTCGAAGATTCAGTGGAAACTCTTCTTCCCATTCATTAAATGAATCTGACTATCAGGTTATTAGAATATAATTTATTTAATTATATAATAATTTCTTAAAATATATATATATATATATATATATTTATTATAGAACGAATTTAATAAAATCATAGCAAAAAGAGTAGGAGAAACTTATTTATTACAAGCGAGATCACCATTACAAAAATCTATATCCACACCTTCTATAATGGGTATTCATGATATAATAAATAAAGAAAATGTTTTAAATAATGATGTGAATAAAATTCCAACGTAAGTTTTTAATTTAATTTGTTGAATATTTTAATCTAGTTGCACTCAAAGATTAAATTGTGTGTTAATATTGCTTAGCATTTACTATTACAATAGCTTATGATAACTTGCACTATTTGCCTTTCATTACTTTGTTTTTTTTTTTACTTTTAATAAAGTAATTACAAAACTCCAAATCACCAAAGATGTCGTCCTAGTGGCACAGAAGATAGTGAGACTGAAGAAGAAACTTTGGATGTAGATAGCTCAATGAAACGTTGTTATGTCACTCCTTCAACTAATAGCACAAATATGCCTTTATACAATTTGTTTTCTGAGTGAGTTTATTCTGCTTATTTGTTTTCTGCACAATATATATCTATAATAATATTATTAATAATTATTAGTTGTTAAAAATACATTTTGTAAAATTTGTTTATTAAAAAATATTGATCACTTGCATGCCAATTATTTTTTAAGGTTCAAATTACATCTTAATTATCAAATTGTTATACATATTATTTTTTATAATATTATTTTTAATTATTTAAATATTTTAGTACATCTGAAGACCAAAATGCTAAACGAAGGAAAAGAGGAAGCCTTTTTTTTAGAAAGAAAAAAGATAAATCTAAAAAAGTTCTTCATTCTTGGATATCACCACCTTACAGTAATTTTGATCAATCATGTGGATGGTGTGCAAAACCATTGGAAAATAAACCAGCTCTTTCGTGTGAAAGTTAGTCTCTTATATTAAATTATTTATTTATCTTACTATAATTTTTATTTTTTAAAACCAATTTTTTAGGCTGTTTAGTCACAGTACATCAAAATTCATGTAAAGATCAAGTTTCTGAATGTGTAAAACAAAAGTATGGAAAGGTAATATATATATCTAATTAAATACAGTATTTTATGAATGAAGTAATTATAAAAATTTTCTAAACAATAAATTTAAGTAAAAAAAAATTCTTAATTAATAATTATTATATAAATTTAAGTATGATTATTTTGTCATATTTGAAAATCCCAAATTATATTTATTTGATTTACTTATGTCCATAAAATAACTTATTACAGTTAGTGCATTTAATTAACCTAATTTTTTCAAATTATTTTAATATACTTTTTACTTTTAAATAAATTTTACATTAAAAAGTTTAATATAATACTTAAAAAAAAATTATAATGAAGTAAAAACTGTTTATGAATTAAGCTCAAAAAAACTATACATATTTTTTTAGAGCAATTTAAGATTTTCTTCTGCTTCATTTCAACAAAGATTTTATGGAAAGAGACAAAGTAGTATAAATCAGTTTACTTCACCTAACAGGTAATCAATTTTTTTATTAAGATATTCTTGTAAGAAAGTAATTAATTTTTCAGATTTTATTATTAAAACACTTAATAACTTAATTTAAAGGTTATCTATTTTATATAATGTGTCATAAGTCTTAAAACTGCATGCTGAGTGGGATACAATATAAATTTAATTTATATTTTATATGTTGTAAAGTTTCTTTTTATGGTTCTGAAAAGTAGTCTTTTGTTAGATTATTAAGTGTCATAGTTGATTAAAAATTCGAAATAATATTCAAAATTTGATTAAATTATTTGTTAAGTATTAAATCCAATTTCCAAAAACTGGCAAGTGTGCTAATGTCTGGTGCAATTACTCTATTTAGATTTGGGAAAACAAAAAATTATTGTGTAGTGTTTAGTACATTATTACAAAATATTACTTATGAATATTTTAAATAAACCTTAAAATATATTTATCATTATTTATGTTCTACTATCAGGTATAAGTAATGGTTTTGATAGGTATTAATGAAAAATGATTGTTTTAATTCTACATTATTTCTTTGGGTACACTTTTACGAATTATATGGTTCCGTTTTATTCACCATAGAAAGTAGTAGCTTCAAAGTTAGGTGTAAAGTAAGTAACCCAAACATATATCTAGTAAAAAATTGAAGAGTAATTTTGTGTTCAAGTAAATTTTCTTTATTTCCTAGGATTCAATTTTTATCTTAGAATTTAATATTTTAATCTTTTTTTAGACAAAAATGTAGTGATGTAACAAATAAATATTAATTAAAGAACATTATGCAATAATAATTAGATAGCTTTTTGTTTTATTTATTGTATTATTTAAACTAAATAAATATTATTATGAACATATAATCTAAAAAAAATTATGGACGATGTTTAGTAAGTAATAAAACAGGTCAATTGTTCAAACAATGAAAACAAAAGAAACTCGTTTCCTTACTTACTGAAATTTTATATATTTAATGTTTCATAAAAACTATAGTGGTTGTAAAATTTTTTTTTTAATAAGATATATTTCCTTCAATACTTATTAACTTTATAAAATAATATCTATGAAGCTAAATTTAAAAATGTTGTGAAATTATTTATTATAAGTATTCTTATAATAGTTAATCTTTTAAATGGATACTGTATTATTCCCTTGCATGTGTTATTTAGATTAAAACATGACAATTTTTTGATTATTAATAATTATTGATATTTTAATAAATAAACAACAAATTCTGATTTTTGAGATTCTGTAACAAACTATTAAAATTAATTTTGTCTAAACCAAAAAAAAAAAAATTTTAAATAAACATTAAAAATAAGTTTTTTATTACGATTTTAGTGTTTTTGAGATTTAAAACTTTTTGAATTAATATCTGAAAAGTCAAATTATTGATTTTATTCAATATTTAATAACTGTTCATTATTAAACAAAATCAGTCTATGTTTAGAATTTTTTACTGACTTTATTAAGCTAAAGTTCAATTTGATTTTTTCAATTTTGTGTTAAACCATTGAGCACTACACTTTTGTTTGAAAACAAAAATGTCATTATTATATATAATATTTTTTTTAAATATTATTGCATAAAAATTAAGTATATTTTAATTGAAGTATTGTCTAAAGACATGATGATACTATATGGTGTATACATAAACTGGTTAAGACCAATTTCCATTTTATCTTAAAAAAAAATATGAATATACTTTATATTGCATATCTATGGTAGCATAACTTCTTGTTATATTTCTATATTATTGCATGAGTTTACCAAAACATATTTTTTTTTATTTTTATTTTTTTTTTTTGAGAAAATACACAATTTAATTATTACTAGTATTTAGGACATAAAATAAATAATGTATTTTTAACAATAGAAAAATGTGACTAACCAAATTCTAGTAGCAAAATACATACACAAATATTAGTTATACTTGTAGATAATACATAAATTTTCCCAAAATTTTCATTAATACATAAAAATTGACATATATTAATATCATTAAAAACATCCAAATAGTCTCTAGCATGGTAGATTTATTAATCAAGTATATAAGATGTCCCACGATGTTCTGACTAATCACCATAAGAAAAGTATCTGTATTTGTCAGTACCCCATAGGACATACTGTATGTTGATCTAAATTAACAATACTATATTTTAATAAATTATATGGTTTTTAATTTATGACTATTTTGACAGTCTGATGATAAATTTTAAATTGATTATTTTTATTTATTATAACAGTAATGTAATTTATCTATTGTATTAACTCTATATATATATATTTTTTTTTTTTTTTGTAGTCATTCAGAAGAAAAAGATGATATACATTATAACCAAGATGGTGTAACGTAAGTTATATTGTTACATTTAAATTTAAAAAACCCAGCACAGGGGGGTCGAGGCACAGTGGTGACGTTGCATAGTTGGATCAAGTATAAATAAAACGCCTTAGCATTAATTTTCTTAAATGAGAACCCTTATATTTATATTAATAATATGATAGAAAAAAATATATAAGCAATTTAATTCTAATAATTTTTGTTGATCCGATTAACCGTTCTGCTGTTTCAGTTGATGTTAGTGCTTTTAGACAAAATTTCTATTATTATTTTACTGTTTTGTATACACAAGTCATGGATCATAAACATAATTTATGATACATTGAAACATACAATTATAGCCTCTATTATTACGAAAACTAAATTAGTGATAAATTTATATTTTGAATCCAAATATTTGAACAATTTAAAAAATTAATGGTTGATCGGATTTAAAAAAGTTATAAAAACAAAATTGTAAATTNCATTTTCTAGGTTTTCAGATGAAGTGTCATTAGTTCAATTTGAATTTTTAAATGAAAGTAATTATAATTTTTTGTACGCTTAAGACTATATAAGATAATTCTTTTAGGCTAGTTAATTTATTTCTCATAAAAAAATAATTATATTAAGAAAATTATTTTTTAGTTTCATATATTTTTTTATTAATTAGTTATTAGTCTTTAAATTCATTCCTTATATCTTCCAATAAAAAGTTATAAATTTTCAGGGTGATTGGTTTAGCTTAAATCACTCAATTAAACTAAAAAAAAATACAATATTAAAAAAAAGAATCCTAAGAAGTTATTTTTATCATTAGTCATTACCCGGCCATACTCTTCAACTCGCCTAGGTATAAAAATCAGAACAATATCCAAACTACTTGTCCAAAAGTTTTTATAGACCAGTCATTTTCTTAATTAGATCATTTTTTATTTTATAAAATAGTTAAATATGTATGTTGTATGTTTATTTAAAAAAATAAAATTAACAATCTTATATAAGGATATTAGGATATTAGGGTTTAAGAAATGTGTTATAAAAAATAACAAATCACTAATAAATAAAAAAATATATGAAATTGAATGTATTAAAAAATTTTTCTTAATATAATGGCTATTTTTAGAGAAATTTAATGGCCAGCATTAAAAAATAACATTGTATAATTAAACTAATTTGAATAAAATAAAATGTTTAATATCTGTTCTTTAGGTCATATTACTGCACATGATTTAAATGCAGATCCTGCATTAGGACTTCATGAAGAACAGCCAGATTCATGGACTCCAACTGTTACCAAAGAAGTACTAAAAATATTTGATTTAATATTTTATATTTTATAATAAATCATTTTTAAAATGTTTTGCTAGGTAGTTAAAAAGTTAAAAGACAAAGAAATAAAACGACAAGAACATATTTATGAATTTGTGTTAACTGAAAAACATCACTGTCTTACTTTAAAAGTTATGCAAAAAGTAAGATTACTAAATTTAAAAAAAAAAATGCTATTTTTTCTTAGATTTTACATTTTGTGTATTACTTTTTAGGTATTTGCTGATGGTTTGCAAAAACATTTTCAGTTGGGTGATAAAGTATATCGTATGTTTCCACGGTTAGCTGAACTTACTGAAATACATTTAGGCTTTTTAAAAAATCTTAAAGAAAAACAGCGAAAAGCAGCCCTTGAAAATGGTGGTGTAGTAGATTCTATAGCAGATTTATTATTAGATCAGTTTTCAAGCATTAATGCTCAACGCTTAAAAAGTGCTTACGGAGAGTTTTGTTCCAGGCACAGAGATGCTTTAGATGTCTATAAAATGTTGGAAAAAGATCCTGGATTTTTTAATTTTATAAAACATTGCCAGGTTCTTAACTGTTTTAAAAATTAATGTACACATTTTTATTTAAAAATGGTTTTAAAAGTTTAAATTATCTACAGGCTAATCCATTGTTAAAGAAAAAGGGTATTCCTGAATGTGTATTGTTTGTTACTCAAAGACTTACTAAATATCCTTTACTTATTGAACCACTTATTAAAACTTCTAAAGAAAATAAGGTAGAATGTGAAAAATTATCAAGAGCTTTAGCTTTAGTCAAGGTAATTTTTGTAATATTAAAATATTTATTTCCACAATTCACCTCTTTTACTAAAATTTAATAAATTATCAACTTATATTTATATCATTAAACATTATTTTTAAATCTTAAGAAAAAATATGTATGCAGGGTGGCTCAGCATTCACTGACAACTTAAATAACTTTTGATCTAGTTAATATGTTATACTGATTTTGTTTTTAAATAAAATTAAAAAAAAATCTAAAAAAGTTATTTTGTAGAGTAGATTTTAAGAAAAATTTTGGTAAAAAAATATATTAAAATTCAGTAATAAATAATCTGTATTATTTTAAAGTTTGTGAAAATTTGAATGTTCATATAATATATATACTTAATATTATTAAGTATATTAATGATTAAATAAAAATTAACTGGATCATAAGTTATTTATGTTGTCAATGAATGCTGGGCCACTATATATCCTTGTGTATAATAAATATGTTGTATCAAATCTATTTATTTTACAAAAAAGATTTTTTAATCTTTATTATTTTACCTTTATTTGCTTTAGAATTTTCAGGATTTTTAATAATAGTTAAACATAAGTAAATATTTTATTACCCCCTCAAATTGAACTTAAAATAATTCTTAATATTTTAATCACAATGGAATGACTTTTAACCTATTTTGGTCACCTCCTTTGCTTCTTTAGTATACATCGATATCTAATATAGATTGAATAATTATCTCTTTCATTATTGTTTCTCTTAGGATATATTAGTAGAAGTTGATTCTCAAGTAGCTGAAAAAGAAAAAGAAGATAGGAAATTAGAAATATATAATAGGTTGGAAGCAAAATCATTTACCAATTTTAGAGGAAGAAAGTTTAAAAAATCTGATTTGTTATCTGAGAATCGAAGATTAAGGTAAAATTTAAATGAAAATGAGCTATTCATGCATTATTGATTCTTTATTTTTTAGTAGATTTTAAATTAATCATATTTGTTATTAACAAACTTTAAAATTTGGTTAATCAAGATATAACTTATTTGAAATGGATACCAATTTTATTCTATACATTTTCATTTAAAAAACATAGAGTGATTAAACAAAATTTGAGTATTAGCAAAAATAAAAAACTTTTATTTATTTTACCATAGAATTTCCTTAAATGACATGATAGGCACTAGTCTGAAAAACCTTGAAAAGCCAAGGAGTTTTAAAATTGGTAGAAACCATGCTTAAATAATATAATAATAAAAATTTTATTTTAAATTAAAATCTCTTTACCATAAAGTTATCTTATATTAGCTAAATTTTTAAAATAATGAAATTAGATAAAAAAAATTGTAAATATTTATAGGTTTGAAGGTACAGCTTGGCTTATGCAACGACATTCTAAAATGCAAATGGTAATGGTTAATGTTATAGTGATGACAGATGTGTTATTTTTCATATTAGAAAATAATCATAAATATACTTTCTTCATGCCAGAAAGCAACAAAGAAAAAGAAACTAAGGTATACACAATTATTATTTTAATCCTGTTTAATTTTTGCTTTGATCAGTGTTTTTAAACTGGGTAAATTTAACATTATTGAGATATAGTTTAAATAAGAATATGTGTATGGTAAGACTTGCTGAAAAATTGTCCAATATGAGACAATCTACCATGTATAAAAATAGGGTTGAGATATACTACTTAGTATATTTAGTTTTTAGTTTCCTTAGTTAAAGTATAGTTTTTAAAAATATTATTATAATTTTTTATATAATTTTTATATTATGAAGGTACAGTAATTGAGTTAATATTTTATTTTGATTATATTAATGTTTTTCTATTTTAGGTAATGAAACCAGTAGCAGGTGTTGTATCTTTACAGAAGCTTCTTGTTAGAGAAAAAGCTGGAACAGATACCAAAGGTATTTATTTAATATCTTCTAACCCAGCAGAACCAGAAATGTTTGAGCTAAAAGTACACAAGCCTAAAGACAAACAAGTATGGATAAATTCTATTAGATCAGCTGTTCAGGAATGCCCCGAAGAAGAAGATGATGGTTATGTTACTCTTAGTTTTGAAGAGCGCCAACGTCAATTGGAAACTAAAAAAAATAATATCAGAGAAATTGTTGGTGTGTATAATTGTAACAAACCTATTGTGGTGGGCTAGTAGAGATCTTAATTAATTTAATATTGTATCTTATACAGTTATATGTAATTTTATTTTATGAATAATGTGTAATTTTTTGAAATGTAATCATCAATTCCCATTATACTAATAACCATATTATTTTATCATTATAGAAGTGCTTAAACAAAAAGATTTAGAACAAGCTTTAATATTTGAAGAAATAATGGGTTTGAAATTGAAATTATTAGCTTCTGCTGGTGTAGATAATTTGCCTATTGAGACACCTTCTTATAGTCATTTAGTTACTGAACATCAAGACACTGAAAAAATTCGTAAAGAAGTTATGAATGCATTGCAGGTATTTTAACTTTATTGATTGTATAATCTTTATTTATGACTTTTAAATGTATATATTTATAATTTGTTTTAGAAAGTAAATCAGTTGACTAGTTCTTTATATGCTTCTGGTACACATTTATCCCGTAGTGCAAGTTCAGTAGGTGAACATCATAGTGTGACATATGTATCGCCTACTTTGCCAAAGAGAGCTGAAACATTTGGTGGATTTGATAATTCAGTTTCATCGCCTAAAAGTAAGTTTTTAAATTTTCATACTAAAATAATTCTAACTAGAATAATGTATAAGTGCTTCATAATTTAGATGTCTTGAGGAAATTATCAAAAGTTATTGATGGCAATGAAAATGGTGTGGAGTCCAGTAATTCTAGTCCAATTGGCACTCCTAGTTCTACTCGTAAAGAAAATAAAATGGTATTATTTTATTAAGAAATGTGTAAATTAGTTGATAAAATTATTCATTAATTATTTTTGAACTTGTAGAAAGATAGTAATTTATTTTGGAAAGAAAATTGTAGTACAAGTTCATCACATAGTGTCACAACTATACAATCATCTGGAGAAATTCCAACAATATTAGCACTTGGAAATGAACAACAAGCCATAGTAATGGAACTAACACACTATATTTGTACATTATCAACCATCACTTTACAACAATTAACTAATGTTGACAGGTAAAAAATATTTAATAATATAACTATTACACTAAATTTGTTATTAAAGTATTTTTTAATTGGTTGGGTTTAAAGCTTACAAGCAGAATTAGCTCTTTACAAATCACAGCACATACTCGAAGAAACAACTTTAAGTAATTCTAATGTGGGCTCTAATAACTGGTCCTCAAAAGACAAAAAACCTGTTTATCGACACAATCAACAATTGGAAGAACTTCGTAACTTGCAAGATAAACTAACTCAAGAAAAAGAAATTTGGATTAGGGAAAGGGATCTTGAATTGAAAGAATTAGAAGAAAAAAGAGAACAATTACAAAGATTACAAGTAAGTTTCTTTTGCATTATTGTATCATAAATATGACATCAAATGTAATAAAATTATTTAAACTATACTATAATTTATCAGGAACTTGTACGATCAGAACAAACTGATGTAACACAACAAAGGGAACAACTGTATCTAAAATTACAAACTTTAACAAATCAAGGTATAATAGTATCACCAAATATGCAACCACCCCCTGTCTCACCAAATCAGCAGACTTCAAATCAGTCAAGTACTGATGGTACTGGTCATCCATTGTCTCACTCTGAATCTGTACGCAGTAAGAAACGATCTGATTCTGTGAAATGGAAACAGCATACACCTCCTTCTTCTACTTCATCATCTACTCTGCCTATTAACTTAATTAGTGCAACAAATCAACAAAAAGTATATATTGATATAGTATATAGTTTTTTGGTTGTTTATATCAACACTATTTTTGTTTAGGTGGCATCTAAAGTTCAAATAAAACAAAAACTTCCCTTTAAATTAGCAAACAAATTAAGTAATAATCCCAATAATAGTTTGAGTGAACATACAGTTTCTAGTGCACCAAATGTCACTTCGTCTACCCAATCATCATATTCTATTCAACAATTATTGCCTTTGAAATTACGGGAAAGTGCTAAAAACCCTGCAAACCTCATCCAGGGCAATTCAACTGAAATATTGTCACCAAGTCCCCAAGGACCCAGTCATTCACGGACAGGATCTAGTCCAGCAATGATGCAAACTGCTCAAGTAATTATTATTTTATTTCCCTAGAATTATTCCTAACTCTTATATTTTGATCCAGTGGAAATCACATTCACTAAATGCATATTTATGTATATAGCTTTATGATCTCACTTAAATAATTTTCAAATTTAACTTGTAGATAATTGAAGGTAAACAGTCTGGAAATAAAGCTGGTAGAACAAATACTTACCCTAAATTACCAGACAAGTTTCGGATCCGAAGTCCAGATTCAAAACATTCTAAAACATTACCACCCAGTAATAGCACTAACAATACAACTAACACATCGACAGAAGAAGAAGTATTATACTTCTGACCATAATCTTCTTTCAAAAATTACTTTAAATCTTCAATAATGATTATTGGATCTCTTTGTTTAAATCAAATAAGAAAAAAATTATGGACATATTTAGACAATAATTATTGCTATTAAATTGGACCTTGAATTTCATTCCAAAATTACTTTAACCAGTTAAATTTTAAGCAACCAGCTTAAAAATGTTTAGATTTCCGAATGTAATAAATTTAATCCATGATAATATGTTATTAAATATGGTTTATTATTACTTTTTTTAAATTAATATTTGTTATTATCATCAGCGTATGATTGTTAAAAAGTCATTCCTACTACATACATTGTTTTTATCTAAAATGTTTATTTTTCTTTTTTATCACTATTTTGTTTTTGAAAAATTATTTATTTGAAATCTTTGGTATATGTATCGAAGTTCTTTGATTTAGTGTTAAGGCTAGTGGAAACGTCGAGCTTTAAAATGTGCTATTTATTTATTTTTATACACTCATTTTATGTTAATATATTATTATTATATTTGGCTAATTCTTCAATAAAATTGGAGAAACCTTAGCAATAACTTGATAACTTTTGAGACTTCATATTTCGCCTCTATGTTTCTAAACATAACTTGGGCTGTGATATACCGTTAATTATATATGTATATTGCGGTTATATTTATAATAACTTTTTTTATAACAATGTCTTTCTTTGCAATATATATATATATATATATATATATATA